GTGCGTGCGTGCGTGCGTGCGTGCGTGCGTGCGTGCGTGCGTGCGTGTGTGGGAGAGGCAGAAAGGCCGTAAAAGGTTTAGTTTCTCTGGGTCAGTGCTGGTGTTGTCAAAGAGTGTGTCGCCCAGCGCGGGGCTCGCCCAAGGACAGGTCGCAGCCTCAGCACCCGCTCAAAGATGCAATAGGATTTAAACAGCAGCTCCTCCTCTCTCCACCGCCGGGGTCAGTGATTGGATTTTCCGTCCCAGAATCACAGAAGTTTTTTTAATTTGTGCAGACTCCCTGAGCAGAGACCTTCTCACAAATACATGTGAATTGTCACCGTGACCCTCCTTTTGTTTGTTTATAGTGAACACACAGGAGGGCATTTCTGGTATTTCCATGCTTCACCCTGAGGAGCCGGTCTGTGCGGTAAAGTCAAGTCATAATTACCATAATACAATCAGCATTTCACAGATAACTCCCCTATTTCCCACCGTCATTATTCAGACGTGCAGAATTACCCAGCCATTCAACTATTTGCTGGAAATACAGCACAGAGCTGCAGAGAGACAAACACTCATTATGTTCCAATTAATGTCCCATTGTAATTCTCGTCTCATGGGAGGTGTGTGATCTTCTTGGTAAACCCGTAGTGAGGGAATCCTGAGCATTCGTTACGTCCCCAGAGTTTTTAGTGTTTGCTGTTTTTAATTTGTGAAACAGAATTCATTAATTGGCTTATTAATATCCCGATTAGAATGCAAATCACACCACAACAGACTGTGTCCCCTTGATTCAATGGTCTGAACTACGATTGCAGCAGCTAATTTGGTTAAACAGAGTCAGAATTTGTCTTTCTAGCCCAGCCCACTCCCTCTCTGCTCCCCAACAGAGTACAGTGAGATGCGGCCTGTGGCTGCCTGAAATAGCCACCACAGTGATGACAAATAGACGGGGGGAGATTATGAAATTTGCTTAAGTGTGTTAATGGGCTGATTGCGGGAGCCCGCTGGATTTTGCTGGAAGTTGATTGATTAGAGCTGCAGGTTTTCTCCACGCCCGGAGAGCTCGGGGATTTGACGGGGTAAAGGCGCTCGCCAAGTCTGTTACACCGGAATTGATCTTAATTAGATCTGAAAGACCTGCCACAGCAGAATGGTCGCGGCGATTAAAATGAAAAACAGGAGAAATTACTGATCAAATTAATCATAATGTCGGGCTACAGCTGTAGGTCTGGTGTAATTTGCCACTCCAGTGAGTTACATCAGCCCAGGCAGGGAGAGGAGAGGTAGTACATACTGATCCATGGCAGCGGGAAGCTTAGGCCAGCCTATCAACTCTCTTATTCCAGTTGGAATGCCCGGGACCCTCCTGACCCTGCTGCGCCATCCAGTGGAGCCCCAACATCTCTCTCTCTCATGTAATTAGTCGCCTTTTTTTTTTTTTTTTTTGCCAAATCCTTCCACATTATGTCTTTCTCCAACCGGGAGCAGCGTCTTCAACACCGTCTCTTGTCATGGCTGTCTTGTCCCCGGCATGTTACATGTTAGCTAATAGCCTCTGACCTTGGTCCGGTGTCTGGCTGGCTGGTTTTCGGAGATGGAGGCGTCCCGTCTTCCTCCACCATCAGACTCCTGCCGTCAGTCTGTGTGTCTGTCTCTACTCCCCTTTGCAGTCGTCTCCTTGATCGCTGTCAGAGCCCCACACTGGGCCTGTCCACTCTCCAGCGGCACACTCATAGGGGTAATTACAGCCTAGGGGCCTGCCTCCTACCCCTGTGCTCCACAATTTACCACCAAAGCGTCCACAGACATCTCTCTTCTTCCCCACTGCACCCCGGCATCACAGGACCGCAGGGCCTCAGACCCACAAGTGCTGCAATTACCTGAGCCTCTCTTCTATCCTTTTCTCTCTCTCTCTCTCTCTCTTCTCACTCTCTCTTGCTCTCTCTCCCCCTCACTCCCCTTTCTACCCCTTGGCTCCCTCACGATTCCCTGGCAATCAGCCTTCATTAGAAGCCTCTGGTGAAAACCCATCGTCACCAAGGTCAGCGGCTGCCAACCACAACGGCCTTTTCAGAGGCCTTGCTGTCTGCACTCTCTCCCTCTCTCCCTCTCTCCTCACCTCTTTGCTATTCTGCCCTCCATCTCCTCCCGTTCGCTCCATCCTCCTCAAGTCTAGGGCCCATCTCTGCTGCTTTTGTCTCCAGCTGAGGCCCCTTCAGACACTCATGTCATTTTTTTTTTTTTTCCACTGCAGTGCACTTTTACTTATGTCAACCGCTGTTAGAATCACCACTGTCCAATTTGCTCCAAATGTGTCTTTTTTTTATGGGCGGCGGGTGTCTCTCCCATTATATTAACTTGTGTATTAAATGAGCCTTGCACATCGATTAATTGATTTTCCAGATTAGCTCCACGTCTATTCAATTTAGCGAAACGGGCCGCCATCATTCCACGGGGTATTAAATCAAAATTAAAATGACGTGCTCAAATGTAGAGCCAATGGCTTATACTGTGGCTTGTCGATGAAACTGGCAACGCTTAAGTTGAGGAAAGAGTCCATTATCTATCAAATGTCTCATAACTCAACTGTGGTGTCTGTGGTTTTGAAAAAGATCACCGAGTTTATGAACAGAGATCTAAATTCACAGATGTTTTTCAACTGATTTTGCAGTAAAATACCATCAGCATGTAATTGTTTTGAGTGCTCGTCAAAGCCAAACAAATAAATGCTGTTCAGAATATTGTTGTTGTAAAGAGTAACTTACTATAATTATAATAATTATCTTTGTTTATTTAGTAAAGTGTTGAGCCATATCTCATAATGAGGGCACTGATGTGCTCCTCATTCTTTAACTTCTTTGTGAAGGAAATATACATTTAATGATTTAGTATTTCTCAGAACCTTTAAAAAAGCATTCAGATCATCAGTTGTCAGAAAACATAATTTTTAAGGTAAATAGAGGTAAGTAAATTAAAAGAAAGTAAAAAGTGGAAATCTGGGTTCATGATCTCAGTATCTCCTAAAATCCTGGCTGCGGTTCTGGTAAAGTCGTGTTCTTACATTTAGCAGTAATCTTAAGGTGAAAACACACAAGCTGTAAGACGTCTCACATCTGTCCATTATCCACGATAACACCTGTTTTAAAATCACACTTTTCTCATAAAACTGTTAAGTATGTATAACCGGTCTGTGTGCTGCTAGTCGTGGCTGTGTGGGTTAGAGCATGAACAGGCCCTCAGCTCTCCAGCAGCTCAGCCTAGCCTCTTATTAATGCGCAGGAGATCTGGCTCTTAAGAAGGCAGAAAATTGCCTTACATAACAAGCGCTCCACAATTTAGAAATACAAATGTGCACTGTTGACTGAAGCAGAAAATAAGACTGTTGCCCATCAACAGAACCACATTTCATATGAATAATTATAAAGCATGGGAGCTAGATGAGGAAAGCAACCT